GTAACCTTCAGGTTGTAAAGTCTATACAGTCAATTAATATGCAAGCATTACCAGAGATACAGCCTTGTCCAGCTTATGCAGTACCCCCGGCAGTACCACCAGGATTACACAGGCCACTTGCTGTCAATGTACAGGATCAACAATACATTGAGTTTGAGTCAGTGGTATTGAGTACTGAATGAGTAGTCAACTACTGCTTATGCATAAATGTTATAATTAAAGAAATGAGCTGCCATTAATTTTTTGTTATCAGAGTGTGGGCATCTACATTTATCATGACGTCAAAGTACATTTGCAATGTAGTCACTACTCTACTTGATACCAGGATCTGGTATCGGTGGCCTGGTATCGGATAAATGAGTATTTTGGTATTGTATCGCCCACCTCTACATCCTACATTCATTCATTCTTCATAATAAAGCTACTGCACTGTGTATGCATGTACAGTACCAGTGTATTAGGATATTGTTTACAATAATCTTAAACTTTAAATTCTTCTTTCAAATGGAATCTTATGGTATTCACGATCTTTTGTTTATTTTAGGAGTAAAATTTAATAATATTTTTCTACTGGTAAAAGCATAACAAGCAATGTTTGTACAAATGTATATACTACATAATCACAATTTACGGTATTCATTCTCAAGTTGTTTACGCTAAGTTTAAATATTATTTTCCTTGTGTTAAAAGCAAAACAAGCAATGTACATTTATACCTACATAATAAGATAAACAACTTAATAAGATAAACAACTACTCGCTATCTGCTACATTGACTGCTAGCCATGAGTAACTTGAGTAAACAGCAAACATATTCCCTACGAGGACTATTACTATAGACAATATATACACACTATTACTATACATACTGTATACTACTACTATACTGCTACCACTATGAAAATACATTGTTATTACCTCAACATTGTGTGAAGGATTCATGTGAGAGTCAGGAAGAAACTATAAGATAATCGAAGGTGTAATGTCAGCATTTGAGTAACAATGTTAACACCATGTTAGGAGACAATAAGTTATGAGTGAGCAACGGTGGATTTACATAGCAAAATTAACTTGAAGTACATTAATTTTGCACTGTAAATCCACCTCAAAGGCATTGCATATTTTGTAATTAAATCAATAATTAGATTACCTCACTCATAGTAACATAATAGGGATCCTCCTCATCTATTGGCCTATTACTAGTCACTATTACTTGTGATTTTGTGGTAATAGGAACTTGATTTATTACCTCATGAACAGCTTGGTAATGATTGGTTTTAGCTTGTGGTTGGTGAATAGTAGCATTTTCTATAATAATCACAAGTTATATTGTAATTATCAAATGCATGTATTTAGCATATTAACACTTGTACTTTCATCCTCTTATAAACAATGATACCAACACATACTACTAATATGATCAAGATCACTAGTACAATACCACTGAGTATACCAACCACAATAGGTACAACATTATTGGCATCATTAATAGTTCCACCTATTATAAATAATCATGCATGGGTATGTATTGAGCATGAATGTATACTTGTCGGTGAAGTTTCAGTTTCAGTTCCAGGTGTATTAGTGATTGTAGGACTAACCGTAGACTCAGTAGTGCCTAATGAAATGGAATAATAATAATAATAATAATCATCATCATATCATACTTTCATGTGGATTACTAGAAGAGGAAGAGATATAAGGTGCAATTTTAAAAATTTCAACTGGTGCAGGGTATTGCACAGCAGGTCCAAACAATGCTCCATCATCACCAATATCGTAAACAGTTACAGTATAGTTTCCACTGGCTAAAGACACTATTGTATTATTTGATCCAGTTATATTAAATGATTCCTTCCTTCCATTACTAGTATTAGTAAATATTACATGACATCCTTTAGCAGTTGATACTAGTTGATATATACACTGTACACTAACTGAATTTTTCTGATAGATATACATGTTCTTATGTTGTGTTTCAAGTTTGAGCCAATTTCAATCAAACTTAGATTTTTTATAAATTTGGCCAACTATAGTCTTAAAAAGCCATATGATGCATTAATACCTAACTATAAGAATATGGAGGATCTTTGCTTCAATTTTTTTTCTGGTTATAATTTTTCTGATACACATACATTATTCTAATGTTGTGTTTACAATTTGAACTGATTCCAACAGAAAATTAATTTTTTAAAGTTGCTCTAAAATTTGGCCAAAGACGTTGGGCTGTATAGTATTTTGTCAAATGTTAGCAGCAATAATGACACAAAGAAACAAATCTATACAAATAATTTAGCATAAGCAGCGTTAAAGACAGCAGCAATGATACAAACAATAGCAAAGTTTCCCTCCTAATGAGGCAGCAAAAGTGTTCCTCCTAATGAGGTTGAGTCTTCTTGTCACCAGCTGTGTCAAATACTTCATGAGGAGATACAAAAGCAGCAGTAGCATTATTATCCTAGTGAACAAAACAATACCGGTATTGATAAATGCAATATATATCACCACTTACTTCCTGTTTTGTTTCACCCTCTTGTGAAAAAGCGCGAGACAATTTTCTTTTTCGAATTTCAGATTCAAGTACAACAAGGTTGTTAGTGGAATCAGCTACCGGAACAGGGAATGTTAGTTTCTGGTCCAATGTGTTAACTACGATGTGAGGAGGAGCATTTAGAGGATTACCGACAAAGTCAGAAGGACCAGAGTTAAAATCCTGATTTAAAAACTGCTCGTTTTTATCTGGTGATGGCAAAAGAGCACTTTCTGATTGAAAACTGACATAGGGTGTGCTATTCATTGTTGACTGATTGTCACTATAAATGATAGCAACATATTAATTATTATTATTATTATTATTATTATTATTGTATTTCTTACTCATTTTCTGGTGCTTTTTTATCAGTCTCAGGTTTTGAATATGTAACAGCTGGACTTCCATTTCCTGTTACTGCTCCAACAGTACCTTTACTTTCACTAAATACACATAAACACACAAGACAAATATGTACACGTGAATTATACTGACCATAAGTTATTACAATACCAGTAATCTTCCTTTGAAGATTGATAGCTTCCTTCATTATTGAAAGAGAAAAAAGGTTGTAGTCCCATCAGCCATTGAGAGTCAAATACATAGCTAGATTGACTATAGTGAAGATAGATAGGCATAACTTACAAGCTATTGCTTGATAAAAATTAAAAGTTGTTTTGTAGCAACAAAATTAAATTCTTACCAAAGTTTTTTTACATCAAAGTCTAAAGTATAAAAAAGAAATGTCACAATAATTATAATAAACAAGAATTGTGTGATCTTACCTTTAAATATTCCTTGTAACTTTGGCGAAAAACAAAATAGTAGGATAACAAAGAATGAAGCTACTGCTACAACTGCAAATATTATGAGACCAATAGCCGATCCTATTAAGGAATTATA